AAAGAAGGAAGGAAGGAAGGAAGGGAAAGGAAAGGAGGGGAGGGGAGGGAGGAAGGAAAGAAGGAAAGAAAGAAGAAAATTAAGTTAACAAGGATGGGGAAAAGCCTCAAGTTGAAATCCAGTAGAAACTGATGAATCTGTGTATGCCATTGATGACACTTGCAGAACAAGGAAAGAGAAAGACTATATCTGAGTAACTCTGGACTGGGTTGTCTGGCTGTACTCCTTTGGTGGAGTATTCTCTGAGGACAAAGAGACCTGTCATAGACCCTCAATCCTCAATGGTGAGTTTGTTATTGGCAGTGGGAAGGGTGGGGCAATTCTGAAGCAACTTGGTTACTCCATGACTGGTGTTGTCAGGTTCTCACTACAGGATGAGGTAGATTTGGAATGGAGAAAGGAGAACTCTGTGGTATTTCTTTTTCTTTCTTTTTTTTGGTAGGGGGAGGCGTTGTCTCACTCTGTCGCCCAGGATGGAGTACAGTGGCATGATCATGGTTCACTGCCACCTTGACCTCCTGGGCTCAAGTGATTCTCCCACCTCAGCCTCCCAAGTAGCTGGGACTACAAACACACACCATCATGCCCAGCTAGTGCTTTGATTTTTTTGTGGCAATGAGGTCTTGCTATGTTGCCCAGGCTGGTCTCGAACTCCTGGGCTCAAGCAGTCCTCCTGCCTTAGCCTCCCAAAGTGCTGAGATTACAGGTGTGAGCCACTGCACCTGGCCCAAACTTCCTACCTCTGTTCACTGAAAGGGCCTAGAAGCAGTAACAAACCAGTTGCAAAAAGGACGTTACCACTCTTAGATTCTAAACACCACTCCCCAGTAAAAGACCCTAGGGCCCCTTGGAGAGCCGGTTGACTCCAGGGCTGGGACAGGAAAAGCCAAGAGGAGCCTGACACATTTTATTGTGTGGAAAGTAAAGAAGTGCTCAAAGGATGGTGGGAATAGATCAGAGGTGCCAGCACAGAGAGGCCTGAAGAGGCCCACGATGGCCATGTCTGGGAACATTTGACAACAAAGTAAATAATGGAAGTAATACATTCGGTCCCTTGGATAAAATATAAATTCACGAGTCAAAATTGTCTAAAAATATGTTTTAAAAGAGAGGATAGAGGGCTAGTTATGTCATGATGAGCCATGATGGTGCCACTGCACTCCAGCCTGGGCAACAAAGTGAGACCCAACTCACAAAAAGAGAGAGGGAGAGGGAGGAGGGAGAAGGGAGAAGGGAGAAAGGAAAATTCTTTAAAGAAGACCACCAATGGTCAGGTGTAGTTGGTCATGCCTGTAATCTCAACACTTTGGGGTGCACAGGCAGGAGGATCACTTGAGGCCAGGAGTTTGAGACCAACCTGGACGATATAGCCAGAACTGCCTGAGCCCACGGGTTCGAGACCAACCCGGGCAACTTGGTGAGACCTCATCTCTACAATAAATCAAAAAATCAGCCGGGTGTGGAGGTGCACACCTATAGTTTCAGCTATTTTGAAGGCTGAGGAGGAAGGATCACCTGAGCTCAGCAGGTCGAGGCTGCGGTGGCTGTGAGCGTGCTACTGCACTCCAGCCTGGGCAACAGTGAGACTCCAACTCAGAAAAAGAAAAGGCGCCATCCTCAATAAAAGGACTAACGAGCCTCATGTGCTTTCTGGTGTCTTGCCTGAGGACTTCCCGTCATCTCTACAGTATCTGCCCAAGAGATTTAAACTGAATCTAATCAGCAGGAAGCAATCAGCCACATTCAAATTGAGGGACTTTCTGCAAACCAGCTGGCCTGGATGCTTTAAAAGTGTCCATGTCATGAAAGACAAAAGCAAAAACCAAACAAAACAAAGCAAAAGGCTAAGACTTGCAGAACAAGGGGGACATAACAACTAAAAGCACAGAGTAACATTTGTTTAATTATTGGGTAAAAACAAGCAACCTATAATGAACATTATTTTTACATTTTTAAAAAATTTATTTTGGACAGGGTCTCATTCTGTTGCCCAGACTGGAGTGCAGTGGCGTGATCATAGATCACCCCAGCTTCAAACTCCTGCACTTAAGGGATCCTCTTGCCTCAGCCTCCCAAGTAGCTGGAACTACAGGGTGCACCACCATGCCTGGCAAATTTTTAATTTTTTTGTAGAGATGGGGTCTCTCTGTGTTGCCCAGGCTGTTCTTGAACTCCTGGTTTCAAGTGCTCCTCCTGCCTCAGCTGCCCAAAGCACTGGGATTGCAGGCATGAGCTACCAGGCATGGCCTAATGAACACTATTATAGCTAGTATGACAATGAAAGAAATTGGAATTATGGAGTATGTATTAGATAATAATATCACTTGATGTTACATTTTTTTAGTCTGGTCAGGTGTGGAGGCTCATGCCTGTGATTCCAGCACTTTGGGGGGCCAAGGTGGGAGGATGGTTTGAGCCCAGGCATGAGCCTCCAGTCTAGGCAACATAGTGAGACGTCATCGCTAAAAATAAAAATTAGCCAGGTGTGGTGGTGCACCCTGTAGTCCCAGCTACTTGGGAGGCAGAGGTGTGAGGATCAATTAAGCCCTGGGGGTTGAGGCTCCATTGAGCCATGATCCTGCCACTGCACTCCAGCCTGGGCAACAGAGTGAGATCCTGTTTGATAGTTGTATTGTGATAATGTAAAAGAGGATGCATGCTGGAGTAATGTGGGTGAAATATTACGATAACTGAAACTAACCATATGTGGGGTGAGAGAGAAAGAAAGAGATAAAGTAAATGTGGTATCATATTAGCAATTGGTAAGTAAATATAGGTATTCATTGTACTGTCCTTGAAATGTTTCTTTAGGTTTGACATTTCTCACAGTAAAAATTTTGAGGGAAAAGACTCCGTCCTTTGTCACTAATGCACTGTTCCCCTCTCTGGGCCCCTGCTTTCCCTCTATAAAATGGGAAGGGAATTTGATCACCTCTCAGCTCTCCTGTACAGAGAGTGAATGATCAGATCCTTATCTTCAGCACACAGAAAATGCCCCAGAGATAAGGAACTCTTGACCAGGGGGTGGGGTGTTCTTTTAGAATTTTTATAGACTGGTATTTCTCGTCCAACAATTGTGTGTGAGTCTGGTTGTGAACCTGGAGTCTATCAGAGACCAGCAAGATTGATCTCGAAGGCTCAGTCCTGAATCACTTTCGAGAGGAATTAGGTCCAGGAATCTGTTTTCTCCAAGACACTATGCTTCTTTTTTTTTTGAGTTGGAGTCTCACTCTGTCGCACAGACTGGAGTGCAGTGGCTGCTCCCAGCCACCACAGCCTCGACCTGCTGGGCTCCAGTGATCCTTCCGCCTCAGCCTTCCAAGTAGCTGGAACTACAGGCGCGCGCTACCACACCCGGCTAATTTTTGATTTATTGTAGAGATGAGGTCTCGCTGCCCAGGCGGGTCTCGAACCCACAGGCCCAGGCCTCAGCCTCCCAAAGGCGCGGGATTACAGGCTGAGCCACCGAGCCCAGCTATGCTTCTTATAAAACAAAGTAAAACAAAAATTCCTCTTGTCTCTACCTTACCAAAATATTGCAAACAACATTTGGGGGAAATGTTAAAACAATAATCTGCAAAGGCCTAAAATGTTCTGCAAAAAAAAAAAAGTATTGGATTTATAAACAAATCTCCACTTCAAAGACAGCTGACTTGTGTTTGGTGTATTCCAAAGGGTGGGGAGCGCAGGAAAAATGCTTCATGGTGGCACATTCACTTGGGAGAGACCAATGCTGGTGTCCCAGAGGGGAGATAGATGAAAAAGGAAGCTGACACCTGCCAATGTCCG